CGCCGAGGCCACCCAGGTTTCAAGCGCTCGGCCTCGGCGCCTGACCCCGGCACATTCAGAGAGCACTTCCTAAATTTGTCTCCTGTGTTCCTGACTCACAAGCAATTTCCTCACCCATAAAACGGCGTCGGCATGAAAGGACTGGCCGGGACACCAATTACTTGTCACCGTTTTACCACCTCGCTGCTCACCGGTTCGCAGCCCCCGGCGGTGCCCAGCCAGGATCTGCCCCCTCCCCACAGAGCCCCTCTGTCCCGTGCAGATGGGGGGACGGGGCGGTCGGGGTCCCCTGTGCCATGGGGAAGGTACTGTGGGGCAGAGGGATCTCCAGTGCCTGGTATCTGTCAGAGCAGACCCGGGTCTCCAGTGCTTCTGGGCATCCTGAAGGCATCTCCCAACCCAGCCTGCAATCAGGGAGGCATCAAGCATTCCTGGGTCCCTCAGCTCCTGCACTAGTGTTGTCCCTGTGCTGCTGGTGTTGTCCCCTTGGTATTAATGATGCCCATATGTGGCTGCAGGGGAGGGAATGAGGCTCCACCATCACCACCAGGGTGGCACTGTGCTCATTGCTGAGCATGGCCAATGGCCCTGCCATGGGGCGCACAGACCCATGCTGGCACAGGTCATCGCCATCCCGGTGCCTCCGTGTCCTGCTTCATCTCTGCTCCCTGCCCCTCTGTGCCACCCCGTCTGTCCCCCTGGTTCCCACAGCCGCCCCCAGCCCTGGCGCATCCCCAGCTGCTCCCCTGTCCAATGGATGAGGATGGGAAGGGGCTGGTGCAGAGGGGCAGAGAGCTGGGGTCTCAGGAGGGGCTGAGCACAGCCAGGACCCCCGGGGAGCCCCCCTTCCTCCTCCTGGGAGTGGGGTGACGCTGTGTGGCTGCGGCCACAGCCCGGCCTTCCCCAGCGGCGATCGCCCACCCTCCCTGCGGCAAATCGCTCCCGGCTCCGTGCCGGCAGCGGGCTGCCCGGCAAGCGCCACGGCGGCTGCTAAACGGGTTTTATGGTGGGATTTAGGGACTTTTCTGCCGGGTAATTGATTTGCCCAGGCAGTAAAAGATCAAGGCAGGGGCTCAGACGGTGGCTCCCGGCATCTGCCCACTGAGTGGGCCTGGGCGCGGGCGGCTCGGGGCACGGCCGGGGATGACGGTCCCCGATGCCATGGTGCATGGCGTGGGGCGCCGCGGCCCCACAGGGATGGGGCGAATGTTGCTGCTCTGTCCAGGAGCC